CTTTCCCAGACTTCCCTCCAACTGCAAGTAAAGAGATAGCGGCACCATCTTGAGGAACTGAAGAGATTTTGGGTACTGACTGCAGCATCGGTGACCAGGAAACTACAAGTGATGATAGTATTGCACTGCGAGAAGCATATTGATCCGCAGTTATAGAAGGGACTGTGCAATTTTCTGGCATCTTCCTGAAAGATTTTACTTTAGATTTTGAAGCACGGACATTCTGATTTGAATTCTTTTCTTTCAACGGGTCAGAATCAATCTCAAGCTCTATTTCATGCTCCTAATATGAGTAGAGTCAGAAAGACTGTCAGTCAGGGCTCAGGGCATAAATCAAGTGAACTGCCACTTGATAGATGAGAGGACTTACATTTCCATAGCACGGCTTCAATGAAAAAGCTGGTACCTCCCCAAAATTAATACTCACAAGATAATCATAAAGCTTGGTTGATATATCCTCAACCTAAGCAATAAGCATAATCAGTTCAGTAATATTAAATACTGCATTTTTACAACATCAACCAGTGCTTAAACTGTGGATATTATATACCTCTATCCATTCAGCACAAAAATCCCAAAATGGCAGACGGTAGAGCTTGACGAATCCTTGCCTGGTGCAGACAGCCAGCAAGCAGCCTGCATTTGGAGCAAGCCCAACTGGGGACCATGAAATCGATCGGACACAAGGTTCATCCCGTGATAAAACAGTGGGCAGCATGCAACCAGATAATAAATCTGCAAAAATAGAAAATATTTTTTTAGAAAAAAGAAGATAATATTCCAATAACAACCCAGTTACACTGTGGTTGAAAACTTGAGATTCAGATTGTTAACAATGGAAATGGAAATAGATATTTTATTTGAAAATATCAAATTATGATATTCCAAATAAAACCCAATTACAAATTATGATATCATAATTGAGATATACCAAAATATGGTGTATGTACCTTGTCTATCATGAAACCAATTGAAAAGGGTTGCCTTTTTTGGATGGTTATGAGGCCTCTCGGTCCAAATGGCAGTTTAGCCGGGTTCTGAGAATTCAGGAAAACACTCAAACAGGGAAGCGTAGCATATCAATAATGAAACCAAATTGTTTATGTTGTGAAATTACAACAACAAAAAAAGGCAAAAAAATTTTAAAAGTGAAGGCGAGTGAAGTGAGAGGGGTGAAGAATAGAGTACCAGAATGGTTACGAGGTGGCCGGAAGCAACGGCGATGAGGTTCTCGTCCGACCAAGCAATGGCGTTGGGGAAGGAGGGAGAATCGACGAGCACAGCGGCCTGGAAACGCGACGCTGCGTTTTGGGTTTCGATTTGGGAATTGGAGGGAAAGTAAGACATGCCGGTTGGTTTGGGATCGAATCTCAAATTTGGGTTTACTTCTTGAAGAGATGACAGAACCCTAGTTCGAGTCTCAAAGGGAACTGAGATTTATTTCTTCTTTTTTCTGTTGTTTTGTTGGGTATGAGATTTATCAGTTTCACCCTAGTAAATGACAAATCCAACACCCGACAAGGCAACAAACTACATGTCGCTTACCAGATCACAGTTCATCAGATAAGCCTCAAACTAGAACATGACCTGTTCGAGCTTAATTTCCGCGCGTCAGCCCATCTGGATGCTAGGCCTTATCAATGACAAAGGTTTGTGTCTTATTTTACCAAAGTTGGAAATCAGCCCAGGATGTTTTGAGGCCCAGACCATTTCAAACCAATTGCAAAAATATTTTTCACAGATTAAGGGTTAATTGCCATTTATCATAAAGGAGACGAGATTTCTCTTGTTATAAATTTGGTTCAGCACAGGCGAATCAAGCAGAATTTAGGTTTTTCATAATATGAAAACCTCAACAAATTTATAGAGATGCCTTTATGTCTCAAAATCACCATAATAGCTCTCAGTTGATCCACAACTAAGCAGAACATGTACTGAAGTGCAATTCCAAATCAACAGTCGTCAATTCAGTCACTTCCAGTCCAATCCAGACTAAAGATATTTCAGTTATGCCCGTTCGACAAGCCTCTCCATGACTGAAATTGATTAAAGCTCTACCAATCTCAACATTGGTATCGATTTCCAGCTGATCCTCATTAGTTGAAGGTGCTGAGGTGCCATTCTAGCAAAGAAATATCTAATCCAGCCTGAGTCACAGACAACAATCCAAGCAGAAATCAAAGTACAATGTTCTGTTGTCCTTCTGGACTTGGCAGTCTTTCTTTTGTTTAATTGTGTAATAGGCAGTTTCATTTTGAACTAGTTTATTTTATTTTTCAACACTTATTCTGGCTAGACTTACTAGTTTTATTGTGGGAAATTATTGTTGTTAAAATGTTAACTCGCAATTGTACGGGCCAATTAGTAATATAGCAAGACAAGTACGAGGTCGTATCCACGAGGACTGAGAAGTTAAAATTAGTTATGTACTTAGATTATCAAATTCAAGAAAGTAGGAGGTTAAGTCTAAAATAGAATTTAAAGCAAGAGTGATTGTAATTGTTGAACAAATGAGGCAAAACGAAATTTCAAACAAAAGTAAAATGAGCAAATGTAACAAAGAGTGTTTTTGTGGGCTAGAAAACAGATTGAGAGACTAGGGCATTCGATTCACCATAACAATTCAATTCTGGGTTATAAGGAGTCAAGTGACAAGTCTAATTCGGATTCAAAGATTGATTCTAGCTAAAGTATGATTAGGCCATGGTGTCTGATCCTAACCTTGTGTTCCTAATTCCCTAACTTGATCATTTGTTGTCTAACCTAAATTAAACATTAGGAACCCATTAAGCATAGAAGAACAATTTAAACAACCAAGCATGTATCTAACACATGTTGTCGAATGTCCATACATACTTTTCTTATTCATAGTTCAATTCAAATCAAAGCATGGTGTCTACTCTTGATTCAAACCAAGATAGCTAATATATAAGTTCTAATGGTGATCAATCATCCAAACAAGCATATTAACTTATAAGCATAATGAATAAGAACATGAATCATGAATCAAACTTGAAACTCAAAACTTCAACTTATAAACCCAGAATATTCATGTTAGGTTACATCGAAGTCCTAGTTATGAATTTAGCTACTCATAATGGAAATGAAACTTAAACAGAAATGAGAAAACATAATGAATGCAATAAGAGTGGAAAAACCCATTTCTGAAGTTACTTGTGGTGTCCAAGGCTTCTCCAAGTGCTTCTCCACGTCTAATACTGCTCCAAGAGCTTTCTCACATCTAGAGTATGACAACTAAAGAGGTTATTTGGGATGAGTTTGGGTGAGTGGTGATGGCAGAAAGAGGAAATTCGTAGGGAAATGGAAGGAAGACTTGTTGGAGTTGTTCTGGTGATTTGGGACTGAATGGAGTGTTTGGGGAAGGATGGGAGTGTTAGAGGATGGCTGAAGTGAATTTTAGGCTGAATGGAGTGGCTCCCTTTGAATGAGTGTACATCTCTCTATTTATATAGTGCAATTTCGTGCTCCCCGTTGGCTGGTGAAGCACACCAATTCCTAGCTGTTCCCAATTGCCTGAGCTGCCCATTAGGTTCCCATGCTGCTTTGTCTCCCATGTGTGGCTGATTTGATGTGTAGCCCATGCCTCTAGGAATGTCAGCTACCCATCCTTCTGAGTTTCCATGATGTCTTGTCTCCCATGTGTGGCTAATTTGATGTGTATTTTGATGGGCCCACAGATTGTTGTCGACTTAATCAATTGATACATTTGAGTAGTCCATTTTGAAGTTCAGACTCTCATATTTCCAACCACATATTATTTGGGCCAATCCAAGTTAGGAGAAAGACGTGAAGGCCGAAATGAGTTGCTAACTCAGTCTGCTCGTTTTTGCACAATTTTGCATCTTTTCTTATCCAAATGCACCATTGCTACCTAAGGCCCAATGAACTGAATGATAAACAGGAAAGGGATTAAAAGCACAAGTTTGACTCAATAACATAACCAAATCATAAGCTAGAAGGGTACAAAATGATATGCAATTGTGAACTAATCAATTATGAAGTCCTCACCCATTTGAGGCAAGAAAAAAACTTACTTGGGAGATATTCCTCACCCAAATTCACAATCACTTGTTCAAAGTCAATAACTTATGGCGCAAGTTATTTTATTTCATAGTCTGTTAAGGTTTTAATCGTTAACGGTGGCACGCTTGCACACAAAAAGAAAGTTGACATGTTGACGACCAATGGTTTCTAAGTCAATGGGGAACTTTACCCTACCACCACAGGAACTACATCAAAACGGGTGAACATGGCCAAACCAATTCAATTAGGTTTGGTTACTTCCTTTCAAAAGAAATTAAAAGAAATTAAGTAGACAATTTTGTATTGTCAATTAAATAATAGTTGAGATACTTCATTTTTATTTTTAGGAGCTTTTCTATTTAGAGGGGCGGTAATATATTAAACTCACACACTCGAACCTAGGACTTTGCCTGTAAGAGCAATTGCTCCAAACCATTATATTAGTGAGTCCTTTGTAGTTGAGAAACTTCTTAACCTTGAAGAGAGACATATAACATCAAATTGGAATGGCTTATAGATTTTAGTTTTTTGCATTAAATGGTTCGTATGAATGTGTGGAATGAAACATAATAGTAAATGGTGATAGCCAATAAGAAGATACCATGTGTTAAAAAAAGAACTAATATATAACTTTATCGTCAAGTAGGATTTGGGCCCTCCAACACTCATATGCCTGACTAAACAAATGGGCTTGAAAACTGCCTACGAGGATGTCCGCTGCAGAAGCAAAAATGAACAAGCTCTCGTAAAGAAAATAGACATGAACATTAAAATCGTTGTTGCAGAACCGAGAGAACAGAATATTTGAAATTGCTGGTAAGGTCAGTGCATTACAGTGGGGTACCACAGCTACAATCGCAAAATCGAATCCCTACTAAAGTGAACTCATCATATGTAAGTTTTGTATTAGGCTAATATTCTTGTCGAAGACGCCATTGCCTGCTCTTTGCATTATCCTATTGCTTGGTAGGATCAGTAGAGATATCAAATCCAGGAGGGATGAAAACAACATCGTCCCACGTTGATGTAGAACCTTCCTGCAATAATTCATTGTTACTTTGGCTATACAAGTCAAAACTGACACTCAGTAATTGCCTAGAAGATAGAGGAAACCAAATGAAAGTTTACAATAATCGAGAAATAAGCAAAGGAATTGTACAATGTTGTTCTTCAATCCTTGTGGAAAAATCTTTTGGTCAATAATTTATTAACAATAAATAATTTTTTTAAGGAAAAAAAGTGCCTACCTTCATCCCCTTTATTACTTCTTCAAGAACAGCAACCTACAGTATAAAATCAAAATAAGTAAACAGAAAGAAATTTTCTGCTGCATAGTCAATAGCGATCCTCGAAACCCATACCTGAACATCCCCAGGTCTGAAGGCAGGATTTAATTGATTCTGCTCGCGAGAAGCTCTTGATAGTGAACTTTCCAAGTCCTCCTAGAAGATTAGCAAGGATAAGCGATATTGCAATTTGCATGCCAAGACAAGCTAGAATAATGCACATCGCAAGGTTAATATTTTAACTAACCTTCCTGAAAAACACTGGACGATAGCTCTTGCTTTGGCTTCTAAGAATCAAGCTCCTTGACTAACAAAATGTTTAAACAGTTCCACAATTAGTATGGGAAATTTATGCAAGAAGTTTGTAATGAAAGAAATGTCCAAAAAATCTTTAAGCCAGACAAAACTCCAGCAAACCAGGTTCACTGGAGCAGAAACGACATAAGCTGCCACAAAAACTAATGCAGCTAGGTGTCTATTGTGGACAATAATAAGAATTGAATGACAAACCTTCTCCTAGTATGGTCCACAGAAGAAACTTAAGAGCTAATACCTGATGCTCTCTTTATTTTTCTTACATGTATCCAAAGGAATGTACATTGTTTTCTACATTTTCAACTTTAGTTCCCTCTATTGAAAAGAAACAAAATTTTCTAAAATTTTAAAGCAAATTCTCCAAGACCCAAAAGTAGGAATCTTTTGGCCAATGAAAAGGATAAACAAAAAGGACTGCTCTTTTGATTGAGAACAAACCAATTATTTTCATCAAAAAACAAACAAACCAATTCTTGCAAGTAGAAAACCTTATTACACTCTCTGCAAGATCCAAAGGAGAGAGATAACGCAGTCTATCCGGCTCTTGGGCAATGAAAAAGGAGAAACTGAATATGCATTTTTATCTTGTCTCTGACCGGTTTTGTTATTTTCTTAGCCAAACTTCAAAACAAACCCAAATGATACTAAACCTAAGAAACCAAACTTTCAAAGCTCTTTGCAAAACCACCTCAACCTCAACACTCCTAGCTCCATCTTGACCCTTCTCCTATTTCACCCCCCAACAACAAATGATTTCTCACAATCTCTACCCTTTTACAATATCAATTTACCTGAAAATAGTTTGATGTCAATCTGCATATTCCCCTAGATTTAACCAGAATGAGATTGATAGTACAACAAAAAATTTCATTCGGTGCTTTAACTGGATGTTGTGACACTACAATCTGGTTCTTAAGTTGATTTTAGGTTGCAATTATCAATGCTTTAAGGCTTTTCATTCATTATTGGGCATTTATTTTAAACATGGTCACTACATGCTAAGTTTCATTTGTGTTCATACAAAATGAATGATGGATAAAACTACACTGCAATAAGTGATATCTTTTAAACTGCATCGTGGCAAAGTGATTATATGGTTGTGAACACGCATGCCTCAATTCAAACTGCTTGCTATTTCATTTTCAAAAACCACAAACGGTTGGCTACAATTGATCTTATTTATAGACTGTTTAAGACGAGGTTTATAATGTAACTAATAATTCAATAACTGACTTCAAACCCAAGAAAGACATCTCAAACTCTTAGAACTCCTAGAAATTTCTATTCCCAATATAATTAGTAAATATATTGATGCTAAGGAATTTTGTTCCAGAACCACCCTTGCAAACAAAAATCTCTACAACTTATAAAGTAATGACTCATTTGGAAAACTAATTTATTCTGACTGCCTAGGACAGAACCTATGAAATCCTAAGAGCTATCATCACGAGGCCTTATGTACAAAAATCCTGAAATGAATAAAACTGGAATTACAGAGAAGCAGCAGCTAGATTAACCACCATGATGAAGAAACAAAAGGTTATGACATAAGCTAGCATTCAGCGACCTTTCTGTATGCACTTTTTTTTGTTAAAAAACTTTAAAAGAGACCAGTAGTCAACTGTCATCTTATTGAGAAAAGTTGAGCACTTTAATGCATGTAGAATCATAATTGGATTTTTTATATTCTCACGTAGAGAATGTGTGATCAAATTAGTTTAGACACACGGATGAATCTCCTACAAAAAGGGAACAACGTAGGAGAAAACTGCAGGCCTCACAACTCTGCAGTATATGACTAATTCAAATTGAGAAAATCCAAGAGAAGAACCTGGAAAACTGGCACCCCGGGAAAGCCATCATCGTCAGAAGTTCCAACCTTTTCCTTCTCCTACAAAAAGGGAACACAAAATAATCATTGTTAATATAAAACTTGCATATGACGAGCGATGAATAAGTGAGACATCATACACAGTCCACAGACTCTGTGCGCTCTGAGGACGAGCAGGAAGGGGGACTGCGTGGGGGCCACAAGGGGGGAGGGGAGGATAAGAGAGAGAGACATCATTTTCTGGCTGAAGAAGAGTACCATAAAAGTATTGAGCTTATTTCTTTAAGAAACCAAGTTTGAATCCCAACTTTTTTGGCAAATTTCTCAAAACCAATGCCAGTCACACCCTACTAATAAACTGAAGCCTATTAACAAGTGTATGTTAATCACGTTATCTGTTGGGGTACACTAACACAGTGCTTGGTTTCTAAACCTGTATTTTGAAAAGGATGAGAATGCTGAAGTTCAAATACATACAGTTCCGTGACAGCCTGTTAAGAAACTAACACTGTTAAGGCATCCTGGCCTATCCTGTATCGATTCAAATGTGATATAGATAAAGCATGGGGTAGCAGATTACAATTATTTTTTTCTTGGGGTTCCTGGATGAATTTGTTATGGTTATGTTCACATAAGAAAAACTTCGCTTTCAGTGTCTTGAAAAAATTCAATTCCGAAAATAACAAGTCTATATAATTATTGTTCCAATGCCAACAACTTACGGACCTTAAGCGCGTTCTTGACTTGAGAATACTCAGGAATCAACCTGAAGGCTACCCCATCAACCTTGAGCTGAAAAACCTGCAAACCAAAACCCATTAATCTCCACCAATCTTTAACCTTCCCATTCACAAGTAAAGGGTGCCAAAATAAATAAACAAAATCTCATCAAGTTATTCACATTCCCACCTTATTTAAAGCCACGGCCACCACTTTAGACCCGCTTCGCATTCCGGGGTCCATAATTCTGATATGCTCAAGAAGTGCCTCTGCATCCTCTTTCTTGAAACAAAACAATCCAAGAGACTTTCCACTTGAAGCACCCGAAACCAACACGAATTCCTCAGCGGCATTACTGAGAGCATAAACAGGCACTCCAGCAAGCCGCTCTTCGATTGCCTCGGTAGACATGGCGGCTTTGGACCCATTACCAGGGGAATTGGTGGTCTGGGTTTTGTTATTTACCGCAATTCGGGCCCAAACTGGGGTTTTCCCAGAAGAATGTTTGGGAACAGAGCTTGACAACCCAATATGGAATGCATGCTTTGCTTGGTTTTGGAGGTTGGCGAAGGTGGACTCGAGTTGGGTTTTGAGGGAAGAAGGGTTGGGGTCGAAGACAGGAAAGTGAGAGAGGTGGTGCAGGAAACCAGAGCAATGATTTTGGATGTTGGTGAAGGCTTGTTGGAGGCTGAGTTCGAGAGGATTGTGTTTGGGTGGTGAGGAAATTTTTGGGTTTTTGGAGTTCCCCAAGTTCATTTTCTCCAGAAAATCGATTCCCAGAACAGAAAAACTCGATGAGTGAGCAGGCTTGAAGAGCGAGTGAAGGGAAACTCGAGGGTTTATTCAACAAGGGGTTGGATTGTTTGTTTTTTTTTTTTTTTTTTTTTTTTTTTTTTTCGTCATTCTTTATTATTAATTATATTTATTTAAGAAAAAAATTTAGAAAGGGTTAATTTCTTCAAAAAAAAATTCAAATAGTAAGGGTTAATTTTAATTTAACTCAGAAAAAAAATTATTTCAGTTTAACTGCATCTTAGTATTTTGTTTTGGAATTTTAGTATTTAACCCAACCTTGGGTAGCCCTATGGTTGGGGGGGAACTTGCGTTTGTATTTGCTCTACGGTTCCGTTTGGTTCATGGGAAAGGAGGCTTGAAAATGAGAATTCAATTGTTTTCCCATGTTTGGTAAGTCCAGACATGGGAAATAGTTGCCTAACACATAGGAAAGTAGGAGAGAAAGTGAAGCCCTCCTCTTAACTTGGGTTTTGTTTTTCCTCCTCATGGAAAAGTTTGGGAAAATGAGCCAACATTCAATGCACAATTTTCATGACTATTTTGTCCCTATGAATAATTTATAATTACAACGTATCATTAAATGCATTTTTTTTATTTGATTTAATATGGGTATAATTGGAAAATTATACAAACTTTGTTTTCCATTCCTACCCAAAACAAACATGGGAAAGGAAACAAAGTGAAATCTCCCGGTTACTTTCCCGACATTACCAAACGTGGGAAAGGAATCTTTCATTCACATTCATTGGGAAATAATTTCCCCTCAAATCCATTCCGTGAACCAAACGGGGCCTATAGGTTGTCAGTTTGATTCCGCACGGGATCAAAACAAGATTTAAGTGAGGGACTGTGGCGGTGGGTTGCTATGTTAGTCTTCCTGGACTATAGACCACACGGGTGAGTCTAATGGGCCCTGTTATGGGGTGGTTTTGTTAGATAGACGTTATCTGCAAGTATGAATTCAAAGTCCTTATCTGTTTTGGATGAGAAGTCCTAGTTTTCCTGGGCTTAATTTAATTGTTTTGTGATGTAATTATCTTTTTTATTTTCAAATGTATAGATTGATTTCCATGTAAATAGGATTTTCCTATAACCGTTTGTAACTATTAACCTTGAAATATCAATATAAATACGGATGCACCATTATGTTGATGGTATGCAAAGCTCACCACTCTTCTCTTGAGCATACTGTTGGAATTTTAAAAGGTTTTAAAAATTTAACCGTTTTATTTATTTAATTATTTTGGATTTTTTATTTTATTTATTATGGGGGTTATAAATATTTAATATTCAAGCTTTATTTCTTATTGGTGAATGCCTTAATTTTTTGGTTGGTGAATGTTACATATTTCGGATGCCTATAAAATGCCACTCCTCCTTCACATTTGATACACACACAAGACACACAATACACTATCAAAATATCACATACACATTCTAATTCTCTCCTCCTCAACTTTTACATATATTCTCTACTTTATATTATTATTATTTTGGGCAATGGTTATGTGACTTGGATACCTATATCTGTCTATGAACGTGCTCATAGTGAATCTTGAGTTTGTGTACAAGGGGTCGTATCTTGGAGTCTTGTAGACCGTCAATACCTGTACGTAGGGAGGCTACAAAGGCTTTAGGACAGCGTCTTTGACATGCTTAACCATACCAAACTCACCTTCTTACTTATTATTTATTTTCCTTTTACTTACCTATTATTTTATTTTCTTCAATTTCATTATACCTTCAAATCTTTTCAATTTATTTATATGTTATTTATAATATAAATGTTTTGTATTTGGCTTTACGGAATAGGAAAACTATTATTTTTTATAGTATAAATACATTTGCTAGTTGGTTGATACATCAATGTTGAGAATTATAATTTTTTACATTTATGGAGAAATTAATTTTGACTATTCTATTTTGTGCATATGCATATATTTTCAAAAATTTCATTACTCCAATATAATGTGCTATATTGAAATCCATTGTTGTCATTAACTTTAATTAGGGCTCATTTGGGAGTGCTTTTGGAGCAGCGAAAAGCGCTTCTAAATGGGTGAAAGCGCTTATGTCTTTTAAAAATGGTGTTTGGCAAAAATTGCAAAAGCGCTTTGGGTGAGATCCAAAAGCACTTGGAGTGGTTTTAGAAGAAGCACTTGAGAGGTGCTTCTTCTTAAAAGCGCTGCAGGACAAAAACACGGGAAGCACTTGACTCCCTTTAATGAAACTTTTAAAATGCAAAAAATACTCATATTTAATTTTTTTTAATGCCAAAATACCCTTCTTCTATTTTTTATCTCTGTCTCATATTAAAACCAAAACTACCCGCGAAATATCAGACGCCAAAACACCCAACCCTGAGCTTCTACCCGCGAAATATCAAACGCCAAAATATCAGACGCCATCTCTCTCACACAATCTGCTCTGGCAGGCAACAAAGCTTCAGCCTCAGCACCCTTCAGCAACACCCTTCTTCTTCTTCTGCCTTCACATCCACAAAGTCACAGCACACACCAACTCTTTAGATTTTTTGGACTTCATACTTCAGGGGAATTCCATATCCTGGTGGACTTTTCATCTGTTATATTTTTGCTTCTTCTGAAAGAGAGGTAAATCATTAATTCTTGTTAACTTATCTTGCTTAAATCGCATGTTTTTGTTCTGTTAGTTGGTTCTTGTTGTTTCCAAATTTCTTGGCTTTTTTGTGTGTTCTCATAAATCCCAGCAATTGAACTTGAAAAGTTCCTGAATTTTTCGTTGACCAACAATGTATTGAAAAAATAGTGAAATTTTCTGACCTTGGTTACGGTTGCAGGCCGTGGATTCCATGGGTCACCACTATCAACGAACAGCACCTCCGTAATAATGAAAAATAGTTTATATATACCCTTCTCATGTTTATTTTTCCTTTGCTATTTCTTTGATTTGGTCACCGTTTTGTCCTCTTGGATGGATGCATGCAAAAGGAAGTTATTTCATGCCTTAAGATGGTGATAAGTGCTAGAATCATATTATGTTTCCTTGGATTATCTAATTATTTGTATTATTGTATTTCCTTTCATTCTTGTGTATCCAACTGCTTTGGTTACCAATAATTTAAGGTGGTTCAATATCGTTTAGCATTTTAATTAGTACTGCTGTTTCATGATTTCTCTTATAGATTTTGTCTTTATTTATGTTGTTTCATGCTTTAATACTCTCTCACACTCTCATTAATTTTCTGTTTCCTGCTTGCTGAATTGTGAATATGCTGGATATGCTTGGTGAATGTTTAATGTGTTGGAAATTAGTGAACGTAGGTGAGTCATTGAAGGTTTGATGTGCTGGAAATTAGGATTGTTTGATGAAATGTTTATGTTTTGAAAGTTTTAAATTGATAGAATGCTTAGTACTTGTAAGCAGGTTGGGTTTGACTGAACTTTTTATGTTTTGAAAGTCAGTAGCAGGGTCTGTAAATAATAGTTTTTATTTTTTAGTTTTTCAGTTTTTTCGTCTTTTAAGCTCTACAGTTTTTTTCTTTGACAAAAATATAATAGTTGCATAGAAAATATTTAATTTGTGTTCATTGTACAATCTTCTTAATAGAGTAATGTCTAATAATATGGATAAACCATCACAAGATGAATGTGGAGAAGAAAGCAAGAAACAAGGAAAGGCTCATTGGGATGATGAGGCTCTTGATGCATTTATAAAAATTTGTGTTGTTGAGACAATAGCTGGAAATCGACCAGGTGGCCATTTTAGTAAGCAAGGATGGAAAAATGTTATAATGAAATTTAGTGAGTTGACTCAAAGGACCTACATTCAAAAGCAACTCAAGAACAAATGGACTGGACTTAAGAAAGATTGGCAATTGTGGACATCTTTGGTTGGAAAAGAGACTGGTCTAGGATGGGATCCTGTGAAGAAAACCATCAATGCTAGCAACGAATGGTGGGACAAGAAAGTGAAGGTGAATTTCTTGTCATACAATTGAGTTACATTTTCTTACACCTAAAGCTAATATACATAGTTTTGTTAGAACTTTTTCATTTAAGTTGATATTATTGTAGGAGATTCCTGAAGCAGCAAAATTTCGAACATGTGGATTGAAACATGTTGATCAATTAGACATTTTATTTAAGGATATTGCTGTGACGGGTGATGGAGCTTGGGCAACATCACAAGGTTTTGTCTATGATGTTGAGAATGAACTAACTCGTCCAACTGAAAATAGTCATGAAGATGGTGTGTATGACTTGGAGAATGGTCTGGAGTTTAATGATGGGCTTGATAATATAGATGATGTTGATACTTCTCCTAATATTGAAACTTCCACACAAGATAAAGCAAAAAGAAAAAGGGATGGTAAAAAACCTGCAGTTGGGGAGAAGGTGATCAAGCGATTAGATTCTATTTTAGAGTCAGTAGCAAATCGAAGTTCTAGAAACAACGACAAGCCTGGTTGTAGCATTGAAGAAGTTATGCAAGTTGTAGAAGGCATACCTGAAATTGTTGAGGATGATGAGCTTTTCGTGAAAGCTGTAGATGTCTTGACTGAAAGAAAGAATAGAGAGATGTTTGTTGCATTAAGGCAAGCCAACCGACAAATTATGTGGCTTAGGAGCAAGAAAGTTTAAATTTAGTCTTGGTTACTTTCTTATTTGTCTTATTATTTTGAGTGGTTTTGAACTGATATTATTAATACAAAATTAGTGAAAAACCCAATTCTAGACATGAAACTATAAATATACCCTACACTATTTAAAACATAGAAACACACCCAAAAAATACCCAAAACTGATAGCTGTTACATTTTTTAGTTTAATTACTTAAATGAAATACCTTTATTACCCATTTAGTATTAAATTAGTTTTTTGAAAAAATTTTGGGCTCTCTCTCTCTCTCTCTCGTCTCTCTCCCTTTGCAGAAACCAGGCCAGCGATATTGGTGCTCCGGCCACGGCCAGCAGTGAGAGCGGTCGGAAAAGGATCGGCCAGGGCCGACGATCAAGTCTGGGCTAAAGCCCAGCCACATCAGCCACTCACGACGCCGCTGCGAGCTCAGAAATGTCTGTGGATTTCAAGTTTTCCGACGTCGTTTCCGGCAATTCCGGCAATTGTTTCCGTCAATCGAGGTATGAAACTTCATCTACTTTTCGTGTTCTAACTGTTTATGTATGTGGTTAAGATAGATTTTGGAGTTTTGAAAATTAATCAATACACCCTAGTTTGACCGACGGCTTTGGCAGTGTTCTGGATTGGCCACTTTTTGGCCGAGGTCCAAGGCCAAAAATTACTCCCCTTGTTAGTCTGAATATGTTGATATAGGTATTGTAAGGAGTTTCGGGAATTTTTAGCGATAAGTTACCATTTGACTTTGACAGCATGCTTGGTATGTTTGTTTCAGACTCTATTCAGGGTTGTTGGAATGCTAGTAGCATATGTTCTAGCTCCCAAATCTGAGCCAAGCTCCACTTCCGGGTTCGTAATTTTTTTTTCCTTCAAATTTTCCTCCTAATTTTCTTGCTCATTTTCCGTCAATGAAGATATCGATTTCTATGCTTGCTTATAAGAGTTTGATTGGAGAAGTTTCATCTCTCAGCATAATTAGGATTGTGCTATTGAAATCGCATGGTCGCTAGCTATCGTTCAATGCCAGATTATATCATATTAATTCATTTTATTAAATAAAATTACCATAAATCGTTTATGACTGTTCTTGTGTAGGATTTATGGAAATTGTGTTTGTAATTGTTAGCTAAATCATAGAATGCTCATTGTTTTTTCCTTTTTCCTAACAGTTCATCGAGGAAGCAAATTTAACAGTAGTTGTTGGCTTGTGCAATTGAGGTGCAAAGTAAACTTTTTTCTTAAATGCTTTTAGGCTTAAGAATATCATAGGACCACTTTCTGAGCAATTTTATTATCTGCTCAAGATTCTTTGGAGTTGATAACAATTGTTTTCTCTTTCTCACTCTCCAATCTTCTTCCTCCCCCCCCCCTTTTTTTCATAATCTATACACCAACTCTCTAAAGCAGAGGAGGCAAGGTTAAAATCTTAGCATCTGTTTTGCAGAAGAGAGTATTTGCATGCATGCCTCAGAAGAACCCAAAAAAGCCCAACAAGAAGAGAAAAAAAGCATAAGTAATTTCAGACAAATTATCTGATGTGGTAGAAAATTAGAGTATTGATTTAATGGTTTATGTTCTGATAATGGAATGCAAAATTCCCTTTTCAAATTTTGTTTGTCTCTCACTATGCTCGGTTTTCTAGCCAGCAATACCATTTGTTTTTGTGTCACATCAAATTTACTAATCTTAATTAGTAACCATATCCAAGGAAACTGCAAAGGGGTTTGCTCAGTATAAAGTTTGTTGCCATTAGTTAGCAAGGAAGAAGACATTTAATATTTTTTACCAGTGGCAAAAAATGAAAAGAAAATCAAAGCATTGGCTACTGCAGCTCATAGTGTTTGTTTCTGTCATGGCAGTTTTGGCAGCAACTTGTTGCCAGAACAGTTCACCTAGAACAGTTCACCTATAACACTTGTTCTTTCAATTTCAGTTGTATTTCAAGGTTGCTGCTTTACGAACATGGGGTTTTTGCTCTGGGTTCCTAGGTTTGTTCCAAAATGTTGTGTTTTCCGTTATGTTTTCAAGGTTGCTGGTTTATGAACATGGGGTTTTTGCTCTGGGTTCCTAGGTTTGTTCCAAAATGTTGTGTTTTCCGTTATGTTTTCAAGGTTGCTGGTTTATGAACATGGGGTTTTTGCAGTTATACATTTTTATCGTACCTATTATGCAAATGAAATATAGCTGTTAGCTTCCAGTAAGTGGTATGAATAGTTGTTATACTGTTCATACCCTGTAATTGAGTTGATTTCTATGACATAGTATTAACAGTGTACTTCTATGACATAGTATTAACAGATTTTCAGTAGCAAAGCATGCTCTATATTTTGCTCATATAGCTGTGCACTTGAAGTTTATGATATGCATAATGTGATTTTCACTAGGAAGATAGTTCTATGACACAGTATTAACAATGTACTTTTTTTTTCTTTTTGTAGAGGGCCTTTGCGATTGCTTCTGGTGAAACTATGGACATTTGAAGGTGGTTTTTGCAAAGGATATCAGATATTTTGTTGGGCTTTTTTTGGGTTTTTTTTGACTTTTTTTGTATGAAATGGTATTAACAATGTTTTTCTATGAAATGATATTAACATTGTATTTTTATGACATGGTATTAACAATGTATTTTTATGACACGGTATTAACAATACACTTCTATGACATGGTACTAACAATGTACTTTTTATGACATGGTATTAACAATGCACTTCTATGACATGGTATTAACAATGTATTTCGGGCTTGCTGGGCTTATTTTGGGTTTTTTTTGAGTTTTTTGTATTGGGCTTGTTTTAAGTTAATAAATGGCAGAGATGTAATTTATAGGAACTTTAACACTCATTTTTTAGATAGTAAATGGTTTTTGGGTGTGTTTCTAAAGTCTATTCCATATAGGGTTTTTTTATAATTTCATATCCTATTTTGGGTATATTACTAAAGCTCCCTATTATTAATTGTACTTTATCTTTTTTATTGTCATTATTTTTATTTATTGAGTGCTTGAGTGCTATTTTTTTTTTTTTTTTTTTTTTTTTTTTTTTTTTTTTTTTTTTTTTTTTATGAGTGGTTATTTTAATATACCATTCTTTCATACATACATACATACATACATACATATAAATAGGTATATATATAAGTTTTTTTGTTTTATTTTTACAGATGAGTTCTAGTGATGGTGATGGAAATAGTACACACTCTTATACAAATGATAGTGACGATGAATTTTATCAGTTGATTTCTGTAGGATGTGTTGTAGCTATTTCTGAATGGCTTAAATATGTTGACAAAGAACCATGCAGGACTTCTTCGCATACCGGATATAAATGGGTAATGGATGTTTTAAATGGTCATAAGGTAAGGTGCCATGAACAATTTAAGATGGAAAAACATGTCTTTATAAAATTGGTAGAGACACTTACAGGTTCATATGGTTTGAAAGAAGTTGGAGATATACCATTAGTTGAGGCATTATCAATGTTCCTCATCGTTTTAGGTCATGGGTTCACTAATAGAATGGTCCAAGAAAGGTTCCAACATTCTGGTGAGACGGTGTCAAAGTGGTTTGGGATAATGTTAGATGTTGTTTGTCGCATGGCTAGTGATATCATAAGTCCACAAGACGCACAATTTAGGAGAGTTCCGGATAAAATTAAAGATGATGATCGATATTGGCCATATTTCAAAGATTGCATAGGGGCAATTGATGGTACACATATACCAGTAATCGTGCCTAGAGAAAGACAAGTACCATATATTGGAAGAAAAGGTATGATTTTAATATGTGCTTTACTTTTGTGTGGGCTGGATGGGAAGGTGCTGCTCACGATGCACGAATATTCATGGAAGCTTTACGAAGACCAATTTTAAAGTTTCCTCATCCACCTACAGGTAACTAAATACATATATTTTTTCTCCAATTCAAATTTGTTTTAATTTGTGATATAGTAAATAATGCTCATGTTGTTCTTTGTTGTTATAGGTAAATATTATCTAGTGGATGCAGGCTATCCACAAATCAAAGGATATTTAGGGCCATATAGGGGTGAGCGATATCATCTTCCTGATTTTCGACGTGGAAGTCAACCAAGAGGGAAGAAAGAAATATTTAACCACAGGCATTCTTCCCTAAGATGCACAATCGAAAGAACTTTTGGTGTTTGGAAAAATCGTTGGAGAATGATAAGACAAATGCATAACTTTCCTATGTAAAAACAAATACAAATAGTTGTTGCTTCAATGGCTCTTCACAACTTTATAAGATGTCATTCCATGACAGATCAAGAATTCCAACCGTATGATGATGATGATGAGCTACTTCCCTCTGGCGGGGCGGGAGTTACTATAGGGGAAGAGATGGTTGAAGAACAAAATCTAACCCATGGGCATGAGATGGCTGACGAACGTGAGAGAATTGCAAATCTTCTTATGTCTGGTTAATTCTTTTTTCATTTTCAAAAAATGATTAAAAATTATACTTGGTGAAGTTCATACTTTTTTAAGTCGTGTTTTTATTTTGAGATCCTGTGAATTTTTATTTCCTATATTTATTATAATATTTTGGGATTCTTTAAATTTTTGTAAAGTGCTTTTAAAAGCGCTTTTACTGTGTCAACCAAACACTCAACAAAATATCAAAAGCGCTTTTATGTAGTGTAAAAGCACTTTTAAATGTGACATCCAAACAACAAACTGCTTCTTTATAGAAGCACTTATGTCATAAGCGCTACTGGCATAAGTGCTTCGGAAAGAAGCACTCCCAAACGAGCCCTTAGAAGCTTTGCAACGGCCATTTCATTGACATAACTGTTTTGTACCTTGGTATTACTTTCAATCATTATTTTGGTTGCCGTTAATTTCTTTTTATGACTTCATTTCAATTGGTCTTTCAAATAAGGCAATTTCTTATTGTGATGGTTATTTTTAATTGCTGAAGGTTTTATTACAAAATCTTTTTTGCTGAAGCAATCAAAATATTCATTAATATTTTTTTCAAACCGTGTAATCAAACCAACATAAAACTATTAGTATCAAACCGTGTTCTTAATATATATAATATCAGTTTTATTTTATTTTATGTATTTAGTTGTAAGTGGCATTAATTTTGAGTTTTGGTGTAAGGCCTTACCCTAAAAAAAATAAATTTTTTTTTTTTTTTTTTTTTTTTTTTTATTTTTTTTTTTTTTTGGTTTCACTATTATATTTACAATGACTATCAAGATGACTGTGAGTACATATCTTATGAATTTAAAATTAAATAAATTTTGGTACAGTCTTCATATATTTTGAATTCCCTAATTTGTGGGGGTTGAGTTTTTCCTTAACTATGTGGGTAATTGTTGGAATTTTTGTGGGTATTTCAAACACAAAATTAATCTCAATACTTATTTATGTTGAATGTAATTTTCCAAATTTTGAGTACCTCTTCAAAACTGAAGTTATTTTGTACATTTATTATATAAGTTTTTTTGTTTTTTTTGAAAAAGCTTTGGCTTTTTCCAAAAGTGAAATTTTTTTTTTGGCTAAAACCTAAATTTACTCTCCTTTATTCAGATTTATTCTATTTTAATTAGCACTCAAATGCTTACGTTATTTGCGTTTTGATAATTATTAATATTTTATTTTAAAACGTGTGGACCAATTTGTGGAAGTTGAATTTTCCTAAAATGGGAACTTTAGTACTTTAATTTCATTTGTTACTAACATTAAGCATTTTTTGCTTTTATACTGAAAAATATTATATTCATTTTTGTAGGCTTTCCTTCCTTCTCTCTTTCCCATAATTTTTTGTCTGTTTTCAATTTCTTTATGCTCTCATGGGAAAGATTCATTTAGTGACATAATACTTTTTATATTTTATTGGCAAACATACTGTGTCTGTATGAAATTTGTTTCATTTTGAAAGTTTATTATGAGAATAATTTATCTTCAATTTGATACAAAAATATTTGCAACTAATGATGATTTTGGCATAAAATTTTGGTAGAGAATTCTTATTGTCTTATAGGTTCATATTGAGAATCAACAAGATACAATTTCAACTTGGATATGTGATCATGATTTCAGCCATTTGGAGTGCACAAAAGGGAGTAAGGGTATCCTAAAATACTCAATGTTTATAGTTAAATTTATTTAATGAATTAATTGTTATATTGTTGTTCATAAGTGATAGCAGGTGTACTCAAAGTTTCATGGACTTGAGAGGTACTCTTGATCAAAAGATTTAATGTATGATGTATTTCCGTTATACTTAACTATATACCAATGCGTATTTAATTTCCGATTATACTGAGGTGAAATCCACTAATTATTTGTGTGCAAGATTGTGTAGGAAATATTTTAATAACATGCAGGTTTAAAGCACGCTAAAATGAAGAACAAAGACATGACCTACATTATATATGCCTTGTGAAGGCTACTCTTGATATGCATGCCTCGTGGAGGAGGCTATTAATGCAAAATGTCGAGGAGGATGTGCTTAAGTCCATAAGGGAGTCACCTAGGGAGGTAACCCAACTTTTGTGATTGAAGATCCCATGAAGGAAGTTTAATGTGGTAGAAACAATCCATATTGCGTGACTCATATAGCATTCATAAAACTATGGAGATATCCTTGAGATATTCTTCTGCTCATCCCTAAGGCAAAAGTGCTATTTTATGTGACGTTAGGAAGGGATTTATCCCTGAATGAGTTTCGAGGCGGGCAAACTCTCGCAGGGTGCAGGTCACATGTACTCTTGGAGAACTCACCTAAGTGAGAGACGTCGTGAGGCCGCGACTATGAGAATTGGGCTATTCTCTAGTAACTCTCATGAGAATCAAGATTAGCGCATGACCATAAATAGCACTACCCCGCATCCAAGTCTCAACTAATACTATGTGTGGGATATGTTGAAGTTTGGTCAAAGGTGTCGAGTTCAATACTGTGTACACTCAGGTTCCTCAAATGGAGACTATCATCACTAAGCGTAGGTTCAAGCCCGGAAGGCACCTACACCTATTACATGGTATTATATTGCCCGTATATATTATATATTTTTCACTGTTTTTTCGTCACGGTAAAATTTTGAAAACCTTGTGGGGGATTGTTGGAATTTTAAAAGGTTTTAAAAATTTAACCGTTTTATTTATTTAATTATTTTGGATTTTTTATTTTATTTATTATGAGGGTTATAAATATTTAATATTCAGGCTTTATTTCTGGTTGGTGAATGCCTTAATTTTTTGGTTAGTGAACTTCTATGGTTGGTGAAGGTTACATGTTTCGGATGCCTATAAAAGGCCACTCCTCCTTCACATTTGATACACACACAAGACACACAATACACTATCAGAATATCACATACACATTCTAATTCTCTCCTCCTCTACTTTTACATATATTCTCTACTTTATATTATTATTATTTTGGGCAATGGTTATGTGACTTGGATATCTATATCTGTCTATGAACGTGCTCATAGTGGATCTTGAGTTTGTGTACAAGGGGTCATATCTTGGAGTTTTGTAGACCATCAGTACCTGCACATAGGGAGGCTAAAAAGGCTTCAGGACAGCGTCTTTCACGTGCTTCACCGTACCAAACTCGCCTTCTTACTTATTATTTATTTTCCTTTTACTCACCTATTATTTTATTTTCTTCAATTTCATTATGCCTTCAAAACTTTTCAATTTATTTATATGTTATTTATAATATAAATGTTTTGTATTTGGCTTTACGGAAGAGGAAAACTATTATTTTTTATAACACATACTATGGTTTTACATGGTATTAGGCCTTTAGTCTCACGACTTGATCCATAATTTCAATTTTTTTTGTTTCTTTCTAAACACTCAATTGTCTTCCATGACTAATCCCACTTCCAACACTTATGGAGATAACACCTCTCTTGCTCCCACCATACTTCCATCTCCCATTGTCACCTCCATGCCCGCTATCATCAACATTAAATTGGATCGATCTAACTATCCACTCTGGCTAGCACAAATCGTTCCCATCCTGAGAAGTCGAGACCTCATGGGGTTTGATGACGATACCTATGTCTGTCCACCACCCACTCTTACTGAAGGCACTATGGCCAATCCTGCGTACTTTACTTGGATTCAACAGGATCAACTGATCCTCAGTTGGATCAATAGTTCCCCTACACCATCTGTGTTGTCTACTGTATCTAGAAATTAGAATGCTCGCACATCCTAGCAAGCCTAAGAGAGAAGATATGCCGCCACGTCCCAGAACAGGATCTTGCATTTGCAAAATGAATTATCCAAAACCATGAAGGGTGATTTTTCTGTCAATGACTACCTCGATCAAATGAATGCTAGTGCCGACAACCTGCCTCTTGCTGGAAAGCTAGTCAATGATGATGAACTTGTTCATATTATTATGAACAACCTTTGTCCAACTTATGATATAATTGTCAGTGCAGTTCAAGCTCATGATACACCTATCACTTATGATACTCTTGAAGCTCTTCTCTTGATGGCTGAACATCAGATGGTGGAGCAAGTTGTTCCGATGCCGAAGAATGGACCATCGGCTTTTGTTGCTGCTCGTGGACACGGTGGTTTCCATCCTCGAAACTTTGGACGCGGTGCTGCTTCACCTACTCATGAAGGCTTTCCAAACCAGCAAGGAGGTTCTTCTCGTGGTACTTTTTTTCAACTCAACGTACTACCAATTTTGGGGAGTCTTCAGCATCGGCTACTCCAGGAATTGTTTGCTAGATATGTGGCAAGTTTGGCCATCCAGTTGTCGATTGTTTCTAGCATATGAATGTGGCTTATGAAGGAAGAATTCCAGCCAAACATCTCACTGCCATGGCCTCATCTCCCACCACCATCTCTCGCCAATCCAATGGAACTTGGCTTCTTGACATTGGTGCAAATGCACATATTACTCTGAAACTGCAAAACATTATTAATCCCAAGGAGTATACTAGTAATGAATAGGTTGGCAGTGTAGGTATTACTGGTTTGCATATTTCTCATTTTGGTTCTTCCACTGTTGACACTGATTCTTGCAAGTTTACTCTTAATGACATCCTACATTATCCATCAGCTTCTACCAATTTAATCTTTGCCCATAGATTTACCTCATACAACCATTGCTATATTCTAATTTTTCCTGATTGCTTTGTTGAAAAGGACCTCAAGACTCGGAAGATGCTTTTCCAAGATAGATGTGAGAATGAATTATATATATTTAATCTTGGCGGTGGACTCTCCAATAAATCATTTTCAGCTTTTGTTGGCACTCAAGTTTCTGCAAAGAAGTGGCACTATCGTCTTGGTCATACAGCTAGTTCCGTTGTTAGGTTTTTAATTTCTAATAAACAAGTACCACTTAGTGGTACCTCTGATGTAAACTTTTGTTAGTCTTATCCATTAGGCAAAAGTACAAAATTGTCATTCAATTTGTCTAGATCAATTTTAAATTCTCCACTAGAACATGTACACTCCGATGTTTGGAGTTTTCCAATAAATTCGGTCCAAGGTTACCGCTACTATCTCTTGTTTGTTGGTGACTTTTCAAGATACTCCTGGATCTTTCCCATGAAACACAAACATGAAGTTTTTGATTTTTTTTTATTCGTTTTAAGAAATATGTTGACAAAATGTTAAACACTCCAATAAAAGTTTTAAAATGTGATGAAGGGGGAGAGTACACTAAGCTTGCGTTTCAAAATTATCTTGTTGATCATGGTATAAGCCAAAGGTTTTCATGTCCTAAGCATCTTGAGCAAAATGGTTTAGCTGAAAGAAAACATGGGCATCTTGTTAAAACTGGTATTGTTTTTCTGTCTCATGCTTCTATTTCTAATACCTATTGGTTTGATGCTTTTCAGACTGCCATATATTTAATTAATCGCTTGCCAACTAGAGTTTTGTCAAATAAGTCTCCTTTTCAAACATTGTTTCTTAGGTCTCCTAGTTATGATATGTTCAAAACTTTTGGATGTCTCTGCTTTCCCTGGCTAATGTCGTATACCACTAATAAACTTCAACACAAATCCAAACCATGTGTCTTTTTAGGTTATTGTTTTATAGCCACTGGAAGCTATCATTTTCTAAGAAACCCTAATGGTTTCTATCTAATATGGCCAAGTTTTTTCCTTCCTTTCTCCTCCCTTCTCTTGACTTATCTTATTTTGGCAAGATTTTCTCTGCCCAATCTCACAAAATCAGGGATTTTTGGGAGCTCAATGCTCTTCCCGCAGCTACCTCAATGGAGAACTCCATTTTTAGCCATCTTTATTCCTTCTTTTCTCCCTTATTCTATGGCTAGATCTGATGGAGGGAAAGCAATGGGTATGTACACTGGTTTGAAGGGTGTTTTGCTCAAGCATCCTTTGGTTTTTTGATGCCTTGTGTTGGGATTTATCTTTGGCCATGTGCTGGAGATTTCCAGCAGTCTGCAAATGTGAGTGGCTTTTGGCTTTTGTCATGGTTTTGTCTCCAGCCATGTGCTGGAGATTTTCATATATTTTCCTTGGTTGCTTGGACCTTTCTAAGGTGATGGGCTAGTTCACTAATGCTGCGTTTGAATGAACGAATTCTAATTTTCATAGAATTTGTAAAAGACGAAATTTGTAATTACATCATTTCAAATTACGTCAATTCCAAATTTCCAGTGTTTGGATATCTTGTATATAGAATTTAGGAAATGACGGAAATTACAATTTCTTCTCTAAGTATCTCTGCTAATGGACGATCCATTTGTATGTTCCAACGTAAATAACATTTGTCATCTCCTTCATGTTCATTACCTTGCTTCTCTTTCCTTTTCCTATGTTTTAGTTTGGTTGCTTTCTCTGCCATCTTATGTAATTGAAATAATTTCAACAACATGAATACACAACATTAACAAATTCATTCAAATTGCTAAAAATGTTAAACATTTAATACATGAAGTAAACACTTATTCAAATTAAAACATTACAAAGTTCACGAAAAGTTCAAATTGAAAAATCATGAAATCGTTGTGCCTCTTGCTTGATAATCATGAAACATCTGCAATGCTAACGTGTCACGGAAAGTAGTCCACTGATCAGTAACTTGAACACTTGTAATCCAATTTGCATTACCCTCTAATGTAGAATGATTTGATATCTCATGATCCACAGAAGCTAAAAACCCCAAATCTTGATCTTGTAACACAGGGTCATTATGTTGCTCGAGTCGGATAAAGTTATGCAACACAAAGCATGCATTTATAATCCCAATTTGGGTTTTGATGTCGAAAAATGAAGGGGTATGCAGTATACTCCATCGCTTTTTTAACAACCCAAAGGACCTTTCAATTACATTCCTTGCAATTGAATGATGCAAATTAAATAATTCTTTGTAAGTTTCAGGCCGATTGTTTCCAGTCTATTCATTTAAGTGATACCTAGTTCCTCTGTACGGTGCCCAAAAACCTTGTCCATTAGCGTATCCCGCATCCACAAGATAATACTTATCTACAATACAAAAAAGTTTTAAAGAATAGTTAGTTATTGTTTGTGCTTAATTAACAACTAGTATGATAATTACCATTTGGGACTTGAAACGGATTATCCCTGGCTAAAGCATCTCGCAAAACACGAGCGTCAGAAGCAGAACCCTCCCATCCGGATAGTACATAGATGAATTTTAGATTTGGATCACAAACTCCTAAAACATTGGTGGAAATATCTTCCTTTCTATTTTGATATCTTGGTCTGTCGTCAGCAAACACTGTTACTGGAATGTGAGTTCCATCTAGTGCCCCTATACAATTCTAATGACATGAAATAAAAAATAAATAAACAAATACTCTTATTAATGTAATTACAAGAACATACTTTTCTTTAGTTATAGAATTACCTCAAATCACTTCCACTTGTCTCTTTCTGATCCACCTATAGCACATGGATGAAGTTTCAAGTACTCTTCACTTATTCTCATCATAGCATGCAACACACTATTAAATTGTCGACTAATTGTTTCTTTAGAGCGATAGTAGTCAAAACCAATGACCCTAAACTTCAAGTTGTGCGCAAGTATATTTAAGAAAATAGCCACAGACTCTTCAATTGAAACATTTCTTGTTGGAGTCAATCCACCTTTTCCATGCAAAATAGTGCATAAACTCTTAAATGCATTCTTGCTAACTCGTAATTGTTCAATACAGTCAAACTCCCTCCCATTATACAGACGATTCAAGTAACATCATCTTTCTTGATCCCAATCACGTGAAGGCTCTTTGACTAGATAAGTTTCATTATACCATGCTACAACTAAAACAATGACAGATGTAATGGTACCAAGAATAATTGACATTTTGTCCCTATTTTCTTCATCATCTCTAGCACGCTTGCGACTTAAACGTGTAAGAAAATTATCTACATCATCACTAGCCATACCTGTTTATATTTTCAAATAATCTTATTATATAGTCATATCAAACACCAACAAAAAGCCACACAATTTTAGCTAAGGCGGAAATTCTCCAAGATGAGATGGAGCAGTAGAGGATAATAAAAGAGAGTTTGAAGAAACAGACACGAAAAAGAAAAAAAAACATAATAATTCATTTGCCATATATTCTGCATTTCTTGTTTCCCAAATAGGAAGCAAAACAATTCTAACTTGGCTACCCAACAAAGAAGAAATACCCGTGGAAAAACCAAGCTGACTAGTGCTTGTTGGCCACCAAAGAAGAAATAAAACAATAATTTCTATCTGACTGCAGAAAAGAAGAAATAAAAGGTCTCCTAAGTGTGTTGAAATGGGTTGAGCTATTGTAGGTTGTCCTCAAATATGATAAACAGCTTTATCGTTGTTTCACCTAGAAATGCTTAAAGTACTCCTAAAAATCATATATACCTTATAACCATCAAAATATCATGGATGGATACAAAACAGTGCAATACTATGTGCTGATGGAGAAAATGCAGTTCGATATTACTTGTCAGAAAGTCACTAAGCAGTAGGATATTTAGCAAAAAAGTTTGGAAATTCAATGGTATCCTGGCAAAAATGCGATGAAGCAGTACCTTAGCTAAAATTGATTCAAACAGACATGAATCTTAGCTCAAACTAATAATCAAATAGACATTGTTGTCTTGGAAACATGATTCAAACTAAAATTGAGCTAAGGTACTTAAACAGACATAGAATCAATTTTAAATAGACATGAATCTTGGAGAAGATTCACCTTTAGAGACAGACATGAAAACCAAGATTCAAACTTGAAGAAAATGAAAATGGAAAGGATGTATTATTATGTCTATGAAAACAGAGCAAATCATGTCTGGTTGTAACAAATTGGCTGCCCAACAAAAACAAACCAAAGAGCATTGGAAGACCCGTGGAAGAACAAAGATGAATAGTGCTTTGCAATGACAAAGCTACATTGACCATGTTTAAAAGCAGATAAAACTAGTGAAGCTAAATATTTTGTCTTATGCAAAAAAAATCCCAATATGCAATAATACATACCTTTTTCCACTGGTTTGACAAACCACATAAACAAATTCTTAAACCCAAAACTTAGTCAAACAGACAGAAGAAGAGACCATAACAGAAACTACAAGAAATTATGCAGACTACAAGAAACAATAATTTCACAACGATAATCTATCCTTTATTGGAACAAAACAAATTGAAAAGCAAGGATAAGTTGAGAGACTATACCTTTATTGGAGCAAACAGAGTCTTAGACTGAAAGATGATAGATGGCAAAATCTGAAAACCACTCACTCTGTATCAAATAAAAAAAGATGATTAACTTTTGTTTTTTTGTGTCGAATTCTGGTTTCAAAAAGAAACCAGAAGAGAGAGAATACGAACAGAGCCCAATCAAACCCATTAGATAATGAATCAGATAACCAAAACAAAGTAGAGATAGATCAAACCCATTAAACTGAATACCCATCAATAATATAAACAAAAAAAAGTTAAAAATTGCAACTAAATTGAAAGCTTACCAGTGAAACTTGGAAAGATGGCCTTCTTCTCCCACTCTTGTTAGAAAACTGATATAGGTGTCTTTGTTGGCGCGCGCCAAATGGAATTTCCCCCGCTCTTGAGATTTGCACAATTCCACCAATTATGAAAGGATTTAAACTTGGGATTTTGGATTGGGAAATCCCTCCATATTTCTTGCAAGTGATTTGCCAAACGCATGGATATCCCTTTTCCATCGGTGAAATCCCGATTTTTTTTCAAATCCCGTCTTTTTTTCCTTTTGCCAAACACACGGTAAAGGGATGGGCCAACTTCCCACAGTGATGGGCTATCTTTTCTAAGGTAATGAGCTATTTTCTCTCCTTTATGCTTACCCACATATTTGGGCTCAAGAAATGGGTTTGAGTTTCAAGGCTCCCAAGCAGCCCAAAACTTCCATTTCTCGGCTTATCAATGAGCCTCATGAAAACTTGTAACCATCCATACCACAACCTGCTGAGCAAGCCCTAGGCATTCGCGTGGCTTAGGCCCATTTAAGTTTGTAGCGTGGCGTGTTGCTTATTTGCTTGGTGTGGCACATGTGTAAGCGTAAATGATAAACTCTTTTGTACCCAAATTGGGTTTCTTCCCAAGTTAGGTGTCTTACTGGGCCGGGAATTTATTCGGGCCCAACCGCAGATTTTTTGGGCCTCAACAGTGAGCTACTAGTTCATTTTGTTTGCTCACAAGATCAGATTGTTGATTTGTTTATCAAGGGCTTGTGTGTTGTTCGTTTCAAGTACTTGGTGTCCAAGCTTCCAGTTGTTCAAAGACTTGTCAGCTTGCAAGGGGATGTTAGACAAATGTTATCTGCAAGTTTGAATTCAAAGTCCTTATCTGTTTTGGATGAGAAGTCCTAGTTTGCCTAGACTTAGTTTAATTGTTTTGTGATATGATTATCTTTTTTATTTTCAAATGTATAGATTGATTCCCATGTAAATAGAGATTTTCATGTAATCGGTTGTAACTGTTAACCTTGAAATATCAATATAAATACAATTGCACCATTATGTGGTATGCAAAGCTCACCACTCTTCTCTTGAGCATACAGTTGTTTTACAGGTTCCTCATTATATTGTGGTTTTATCCTTATGATAGGCGTTAGAAAGTCCATTAAATAACATTATGGCACCACCCCTAAAAAACCATAACGGTGCATTTGGATAAGGAAATTTAAAAGTACAAAAGAATTCATAAATGACCAAATTTAAAATGACGGAAATTAATGTTGTAGAATTTGTAAAGTTTCTTGTTTGGATAAAGGATTTAAAATACGGAATTTAACCTTTATTTGTAAAGTTATTTTTTAAAAAAACTCAATCTCTCTTGGAATTTTAGAAATGATGACTTTTCGATAGAATTTAAAGTTGGGATTTATGAACTCCAAATTCCATTTTTTTCCCATACGGAATTTCTAAATTTCTATTTTTTATTTATCCAAACATTGGAATTGGTTCATGTCAATTTAGAAATTCTAACTTTTGTCAAAATTCCAAGTTTATTTCTCTCATCCAAATGCACTGTAAGCCAAAGGAGAAGAGAGAAAACCAGCAAAAGGTGACTGTAGGTTTTTTTCCCATGGATCCCCTAATAGAGCAAGAAAGCTTCATATATGGGGTTTTCCCCCTGGATCTCATCATATCTAGGTGCCTTGGTGTTGGCTGTTGTTGCGAATCTCACGGCCTGGTGCTCCGGGCCGAGGGGATGTGCATCAACATGTGATGTCCTTCTTTTGGGTGCGGTGCGGTTGTGCGCGGGCATGCCAGCACGGTCTACCGTGCGTCGAGATGGTGATGAGGTTCGGGTAGAAGATGGTTAAATGATGCGCCTGTTTTGCGTTCGACTCTCAATCAAACAATTGTGGCCGAGAGAGGAACTGATCTCGGCCGTCAGGTTCACGACCTGAGCTACAAGGCCATTTTAGTGGTGGTGTTGGTGGCGGGTTTTAGGTGGTGCTCTGGCGCGTTGCTCAGAGAGCGATGGTCGTATGATATATGAGGTGAGTGAGATGATAACATATATGGTGCTCCGGCGCCTTGAAAATCAAGGGTCGTATGATATATTGATGAATGGATTTTCCTTACAATCTATCACTACTTCTAGGAAAGCAAGTAAAGGTATTGAAAGTGCATTACAGGAAAATATAATTTGCTCCGTGGGAGGCTTTTGGTTTGGTGTTCGAACCCTTTGAATGTAGTCTTGAGCTTAGTATTTATAGGAGGAGTCTTGGAGGGACAATCGAGGCTGAAAAGACTTGCGTGGTGGAGCCTAATCGGGGTAAGTGGGTAGTCAAATCGGCATTTGAGATCGTGAAGCATGGTGGTGTGACTCCCATAAATCCCGGTAAATCTCGGCCACCGCCCTGATCGTGGGTTCTGCCCCCTTGGCCGTGGGAACGCATTTAATGCCCTGGTCTGGTGGTTGAGTGATCTGACCTCAAGTCGTAAGATTACTTGTGAGAATGTCTGCGCCTAACCACCCTGATTTCCATCACCAAATCCTGACTTCAGTCACTTCCCTTCTTCCCTTGTGCATTAAATGCTTCTTGCGACTAGTGGGTTTGCTGCGAAAGTCAGAGGCATTACTTCATTAAATGGGGCGTGGGACCTTGAGGCTACGTGGCGATTTAACCACAGTCTCTTCGGCCATGTCTTTTACGGCCTTCGGCTTCGGCCTTCGATACTGCGGTCGCGAGGCCGAGAGGATTTTGCCTTTGCAACTTTTATTTTGTTTTCAGGAAGGTGAAATGTTTAACGAAACGATAGGCGCCAGGACCGAGAGGAAGTCCCTTCAATCAGTTCATGACCGTGATTTATTAGGCAAAAACACTTGGTGGACCATGATGTTCTTCTCTCCTTGTTGCAAATTTGTTTGTTTATGTTTTAGATATGGATGGCTTTAGCTATGTGAAGCATCTTGTGGAGCGACTTTGATGTGTTACTACTTTAGTCGTTTTTGTTTAGTTTTTTAGTTTTTATTCCAGAAAATCTTATGGGTTGTCTGTGAGTTTGTGTCATGATTCCCATAAACTTGTTGAGTTTGCTGGGTTGTCTAGCCTCTCTAGGATAGTCATGTCGGTTATCGGCCAATTTTGTTCTTGATAAATTGCTTTAATCTGGAATAATGAAGGCAGTCAATAGGGGTTTTAGACAAGTAATTTTTTAGATTGATTCTTTCCAAATCATTGCAACCCTCAGGCAGGCTCAAGTCATTGGAGAAATTTACCCATGTCTGTCATATTGCTAATTGGGATGGCTCCCTTTGTACTTTTTAAAGTTGTTCTAATAAACTTCTATCGCTTATTATAAAAATAAAAATAAATAAAAACATTATGGCACATATATAGCCTACTTTTTTTCTCGTACGAGAAATAAAATAAAATAATATTTTCTTTAATAAAATGTTAGATGCTAAAATAGGCGAGTTTGAATTTGACTACGGATGAGCTCTGAACAACTAACATAGATATTAAGCGGGAGCTAAAGAGGTGTCAAATCAGCCTAAGTGTAATTGTGGAGAGTTACCATAACTTTTAAACAATTTTTAGTAAAAGAAACAAACTAAAACTGGTTACTAAGCAAATTTCATGTTTACAAATTTTTTGAAAAATAAATTTAAAAAAATTAAAAAAACGAAACTGTCATCAAATGAGCTTAAGCAATTGCCTTTGCAACTTTGGCCTATAAGTGGAGGGGAGGGGAGGGGGTGGGTCGGCTTGAGAAGGAAAGGGGGTGGGTTGAGTTGAGTGGTGGAGATGGGAGGGGAAGTTTTTCTTTTTTCAATTTTCAACATATTTATTATTTTAAGTTTTTATCAAAATATTCTTAACCTTCACAACTTTTTATTTATTTAATAGTGAAGTGACAAAAGTGCCCTTAAGAAAGGCATGTTTTGAAGTTGACGGAGTTGGCAATTTAACATCAAGAATGTAGCAGGTGTGGAAAATTGTCAAAAGAAATTTATTGCGTGACTAATGTACACTCCCCTTATAATTGATGTGGTGTTTATGCAAATTGCCTAGTTCCTTTCTCCATATTTTTGCCTTTTTATTTTTATTTTTTATTTTTTATTTTTTATTTTTTATTTTTTATTTTATTTTTAGAATTAAGAAAAGATAACATGGGTAGTTATGTTCCATAAAAGTAGACTTATTATTTGATTTGTTTTTAATTTTAATTTTGTAATATAAAAAAAATGTGAATTTATCATATTATTCTCATTTAATTAATAATTTCAATTCTTAATGTTTGAATTAACTAAGAGTATTTTCTGGTATTTTGAATGTTTAACCATTCTCAGCCTTTTACTTTATATATATAGATAAATTTTGAATGTTTCACTATTCTCTGCCTTTTACTATCAAAGAAGTATTATTTTCAATTATAAACATGTCAAAGAAGCATGTAATGAAAAATAATTGATGTGGATAATCTCTCAAAGTTGTATAAAAAAATAATATGTAATGAAAAAACATTATAAACATGCCAAAGAGGTATTATTTTGAATTTTCAATCTCTATCGAGTCGTTTAGATGGAGTAGTTAAGGGTTTTCTTTTCGGTTTTGCTTTGCTGTCGATGGAGTAGTTATGGTTTATGATCATAATAAAGACACAAGAAATATTTGCAAAATATTAAAGACCGGGATTTCGCTGTCGTTTTTTGGGAAGGCGTGTCTTTGTCACACTTGACTACTGGACAAAGTTGGTAGGGCAGAAGTCACGTAGGGTTTAATTTTGTGGGTCAAAGTCTGATAGAGCCATTTCATTGGGTTTTGTTTTGTTATCTGACAGTCAGGTAAGACAATCTTTTACTGTTTGGTAAAAGAAAATAAATTGTTTAACAGATGCACAATGTTCAATGGAACCAGGCATGTGACATCCAAATTTTCATCTCATCCAATCATCCACATGATAATTCCAAAACTTGCACGCCTCGATTTTTGTACCTTTAGGACCTCTTTGCCCTTAGACTTTTTTCTCTTTATGATTTTCCATTCGTATCATGTTAATCTATGTTTTTAGGGTTTGTTTCTTAATTAGTGAATATGTTATTAATATACTCGATGTAATAAGTTCAGTGGTAATAAAACTCAAATGAAATCAGCATCATTTTCGGGAATGTCCATTGAAAGTAAATTAAAAACATAACCAACTCTCGTTTAGAAGATTTTAACTCAAAACTTCCCCATCAAAGTGAAAATGAAAATGAAGTGCTAATTTCACTAAACTAAATCATTACCAATGCATGTTTCTTGTCACCTCATGATCATATTTTCCAAGTCTACCAAAAAGTTAGTGCTACAAACATCATAATTAAGAACATCGCCTAGTTTTACATCAATTTCAGTGGACCCCACTGGTAATCTCATACCATTACCATGCACCTCAATGCAGACAATCATAAAAGGTTGATGCAAATGATTGACGGCTGGCAACCCTTGCCTTGCCTTTTTTATAGGATATAACATATTCACATGGGATTAAGCCGTTAGCAAACCGGTCTCTCAAAGACGACTAAGACGACTCATACTGTTCCGTACCTCACTCTCATGCCCAAAAGGAACCTCTGCAGACATTGAGAGACTTTTGCGTTGATTGCTTGTTCTTTGGTTTTACAGTTCGAACTTTTTTACTTTATTTTATTGTTTTCTCTGCTGCTGCAACTCTTCGCTTCTCCTGAAGACATGGATAGCCAAGATCTAGCAAGAACTCACAGTTCAGGTTTAATTTATCTTATTTTCTTCGCTTTCTGAATGTTGATTTGTTGTCTCTTTCTGGGTTTTAGTGGATTTTGGTTTTCTGGGTTGGAAATGTTTTTGATGGGTTCTTGGATTTCTTGGTTGATCGTATTTTTCCTTACACTTTATTTCACATTATCTCTGAATCTTGGTTTTGTTTGCTTCTGGGTTTAAGGGTTTTTTGTTAATTTTATTTTCTGGGTTGTTGTCTGCTTTTGCGATTGTTTTGTTTAACTTCTTGAATATACAGGGCATGACAGCCATGGAGTCCATGTTTGTCACAAATGTGGGTGGCCCTATCCAAACGCACACCCAAGTTCCAGACACAGACGTGCCCATAAGAGGATTTGTGGAACCATTGATGGTTACAAGCTGGCTGGCTCTGAGAAGAACACCCATGTAAATGATTCTGATGATGATCACTCTGATGAAGAACGCAAAACCCCCAGTGAGTTACCTAGTTCTTTTTAATTCTTTCATCCAATCCGCTCTGTTTTGTGTCTGAGAAATTATTTGGAAGGTGAAATTTGGTTATTTGGATCTTTGTTTCTGCCTTGGTGAGAGATTATTAAAACTATTCTATTAAGCTGTTTAAATTTTTAAGAAAAGGACTAAACTGTTTGAAGCATCTAGAGAGCTCCCCCACTGCATAACTATGAAGCACGGACACGGATGCGTATCGGACTGTATCCGAAGTGTATTGTATCCAAACAAGTATCTGATATGGGATACGCCACTAAATTGGGTATCCATGCTTCAAGTAAAATCTTGTTAGAAACCAGCAGCTAAATATCTGCAGCACAATACACACAGGGGAAGCCCGAACAAACAAACAATGGATTATCCTCTGATTACATTTTAAAACATTACTTTTCCTCAGTTTTTGTTCATAAGCAGATGGGAAATTAGATATCTTATTCTCTTTTTTTTAAATTATTTTTTAATTATTTTAATTTTTTAATTTTTCCTTTGATAGATCTAGTATCTGTGAGATCAGAAGACGTGGTGTTCTCAGATGCTGTTGCAGAATTTTCAGATAGTGCTTCTGGTGCAGTAACCGGTGAAGGGTTAGAAAATGTTCGAGCATCAGAAATTAATCTGGAAAGGGTTGCCAAGAATGGTTTGAACGTCATCCAATCCCTTAATGATGGGGAAATCACCGGTAACGTTTCCATGAATCGAACCAATTAATTGTTATTAGCTGTCTTGTTGGCATCTGATTTAATTATTTATCTGTAAGTGTTTGATGATTTAAAGTGTCTGTTTATGGTCTGAAGAATTTGCATGTTGATACTTAAATCATTATTTTCTTTAAGCGGATGCGCAGAAATAAATGAAATGATCTAGACAGTAAAAGAACCATTATACCTTTAATGAGTTGACTTTAAGTATAACAGGATAGTTTACTTATCAGGAAAAAAATAATTATAAGGTAGTTTTAAATTGATGGGTGTGATATGATCCTCGGGTTCTATAGCTCAGTGCAAGGAGGTGTTGCAGTTTTAATTGGTTAATTAGGAAATTAAGTAAACCTGATTTGGAGGGTTAATGCAATGAATGCATTGAATAGTCTATAGTCTAATGTGGAGGGTTGTCCTACTCCATTGAACAGTGTGTAGTCTAATTGTGGAGGGTCAATGCAGTGATTGCATTTTAAAGTTATGAAATCTTCATCCTACAATTAGAAGTTGATGGACCGTGCAGGTATCTATTCTTTTCTATGGTATAATAGGTTATTTTATTTCTGGTGTTATGTCACTACTAAAGGTTTATCTGGGGTACAGTAAGTAAAGTGACTACTTGCGTTGGTTACCGTCTGTATGTTTGCATGACATTTTTGATTGTGCACACCTGATGGGTGTATACTTGCTCTCTTTTATTGCTTGGTTGTATTTTGTATTGTTCATGTACTAGTTAATGCAGGATGTATAGGTTGTTCAGCAGTCTGTTGAATATTATTTGCAGGAATGTAATTATGGGTCATATTCTCTGCTCATTTCATAATATTAGATGGAGGACATTTTACAAGTTAAATGTGGAAATGTTGCATGTTAGGTCTATCTATGGAGACTTAAGTGATAAAGCACTCATGGGGCTTTGGAAATATGCAAATATTTTCTTATACAAAGAAAAGAAAAATATGAAAATATCTGTCCAATTTTTTTGATAGCACACACATACTGGGTGGCTGATCATCTGGAATAAAAATATCTTTGATGCTGCTGAAAAATATGATTCTATTGAGTGGAAGGTGTGCCATGTTGGATACTTGAAGAAAATATTCAAATAACGGATAAAATGAAACAGTACCGCCCTTGAAAAAGAAAATCTATCCAAGATTCACTGGCTTCGTTTCCTTCTGTTTTGATGTAAAGGACTTTATGTACACTTGCTTGGACGAGAGATTAATATAAAGATTTCAATATTGTAGGGCTATAATTGTTTTTAAGTCGAGCGATTTTTCATTCCCTTGAAGTGGCAAATTCTGGTAAAATTCATGGTAAAGAAGGCATATTCTTCCATATAGTAAGCTAATTATACTGAATAGTGACCTGTTTGTGATGTGGTGATAGTGAAATATTATATTCTTATATTGGCCACTGCATTTTTTATAATATGTTTGACTACACTTTTTATTTAAAATATTTATTCCATGTTCATACTTCTCCACTTCTATTGTCCGAGTATTTGGGAGACATCCTCTATTTTGATGTAATTACTGTATCCTTGACATGTAAGAGTGATATATTTTGTCCTCATTTTTCTCCACCTTTGTCGTCAAAGTACATTAGTAGCAGAAGAAGAATGAATCTTCTATAAGATGCATACACTGTATTTTTAAGTGTGTTTTTTTTCTTTTTCTCGTGAGGAGATGACTCTGATCAATATTGCAATTGGCTGAAAATTGTTCTGAGAATCCTTATCTGGTTTCTCTTTTGACAATTGTATAGAATGTTTGCATTCACATAAATATGCATTTTTCTCTCAATAACCTCATGCAAATTTCTGAAATTCCAGAGAATACTACTAATCAGCTGGGTGCACAAGAGTTACAGGAATCGTTGTCAACTTCTAACATCATTTCAATGACGAGTTCCGAATCAGCTTTGCAGGATGATAGGAATCATTCAGAAGATGACGTACAACCCATTCAATTTGAAGTGCTGGCAGATGCATCAGAAGATAGTAAGAAGACCCATGCTACTGACAATGTGATTGAGAGCTCTTTATTATCTGCTCCACAAGAGGACAAGATTGATGGAATTGCTACAAGTAATCCAGATGGAGACTTACCGTACACTGTGATCTCACCCAATAAAGTTGTCAGTGAAACAGCTGAGGGTGTATCTAAGTTAGAAGGGACAGTTGAAATGACTTCGGACTCTCTGCGAGATAATGAAGTTGTTCCATCAGAGAAAGAGTACACCCATGCGTATGATTTGTATATTCCTCAAATTGATCCTTCCCCTGAAGTTGAATCTGTTGAACATGTGAATGCATCGGTTGATACTGTAGAGAATAAGGTGGATACTACAGACAGAATACACTTTTCAAATTCTGGTGGGTTAACTGAGAGTAGCAACTGGGAGGGAGAAGGGAATGCAAATGTACATGTGCTTTCTGTTCCAGATGATACACATGTGGTAGAAAATCCTGAGGTGATGCTTGAAGGTTTTAAAAACCACAAAGAAAAGAAATTAGACCAGCCTATCTTCTTGGACTCTTGGGAACAATTTAATGATGAAGAAAATGATGTTAAACGTGGAGGTAGCAGCAAGCCAATGGTTAAAGAAGTGCCTGCTGAAGAAGAACCCAATGTGTCTCACATTCAGATCAAGAGTACTGAAAACCAAAGGTCAGATGAAATAGCAGCCCCTGCAGATGCAAATGAATCGTTACAGGTGAATTTTTCTGAAAGTGATACAAATTCCTTGATTGCTTCCAGCAGTGCTGCTATAAATCAAACAAGGCACTTAGATGATCTGGATGGTAATGGAAAAGATGAAAAATGTGATTTAAGCGCAGACCATAACAGCAAAGGACCTGCAGAAGAAAATTCTGTGGAAAATCCTGCTGAAATCGAAATTAATCCAGCAGCTAATTTACATGAAAAGGGGGATGCTGGTGATTATGAGAAGGGTATATTTGAAAACTGCAATATAATTGGAGATTCTGGTTATCATGAAACTGAAAATTTTAAGTTAGCTGGGGATGACAACAGCAAGGAATCTACAGAGAATTTTTTTGCTAAAGACCCTGTGAGTAATTTGGAATCTGCTAGTCGTCTCTCTGAGCTCCAAGTGGATCCAGTATCCAGCTCGCATGAAGTTGGTGATGCAGGTGATTATGAGAAGGATAAAACTGAAAGGTTTGATATAATTGGGGATGATGGTGATCATGAGAAAGCTGAAAAGTATGTTTTAACTGGGGATGACTACAGGAAAGTATCTACAGAGAAAATTGTTGCAGAGAATTCTATAACTAGTTTGGAATCTGCCAGTAGTCTCTCCGAACTTCAAGCTAATTTAGCAACAAATTTAAATGATGATGACCCTGGCGATCATGATGGTGGTGAAATTGAAAAGAGTATTATATCTGGAAATGAGAGCAGTGAAGGGCCTGTTGAAAAAAAACTTTTGGTGAAACCAACTTTGAACCTTGATTCTGCTATTGATCTTGTTGAATCAAAAACTGTTGCAGAAGATGCAGTGGATGGTTCTATGCTGAAGCTGGTTGACACCAGACACAAACCTTTAAATAGCAGTTCAAATTCTAGCGGAGTTGGCCTCAATATAGTTTCAGATCATAGTCCCAATGCTGAGTCCTCACAGAAGAGTTCAGAGGGTTGTGGGATGAAAGAACTAGGTCTTTCTGCTTTAGATGCTGAATCTTCTGTTCCGAGTTTCACTGCTGAAGATAATGGCTCCAGAGAGTTCCATGGGGTATCTTCTGGGTTGAGTTCTCAATCTTTTCAAGAAGAGAGTGATAAAAACTTTGTAAAGCAACAGCTAAGTTCATCTGCACTGGATGTTGTTGACTCAAATAGCCAAACTGACAGTCTGGAAGGAAACTGGGGCTCTGTTTCAGGTATTTGTCTTCTTAATTAGTTTTTGTAACACAAATTCTCTCTTATTTGGCATAATAATATAAAAACTGTTGCACTTGCACTGCTTTTGCTTGCCCCACTTTCTGTACTTGTGACTTGGAGAAGAGTAATCATGACCCAAAACTGTTATCTGCAACCATGTACTGAAGATGGGTCTAACGAAGTGAATTTTATCCTTTGACTTGACCATGTCATTGTGGTTGGTAGAATAAAGAAAGAATATACATATGTAAAATTAACTATGACTGAATTACGTACAAGTTCTTATGTGTTTTGGTTTGGTTTTCATGGGATCAGTTTATATATTTCCTTACAATTATTTAGAATGCCATTTATTCTTTACTGCAATGCTATTCTATCTGTATGCCTAAAATACCTTATTTGATGCTTATACACAAAAAGAAGAGTTACAATTTTCTAAACTCAGTCTATTTTCTGTTGATGCACGGTACAGTTCTTTCTATCCAGTCAGATGCACAAGCTGTACCACCTGCAGATTCCCAAACTTCAGTGGAAGAGAAGAAGTCAAAAGCTGCATCTGAGAGACAATACCCTGAAAAATCTGATATGTTTGAGGCACCGTCATTCATGACATTGGTTGAACCTAGAGGCGTGAATGACCAAAAAGCTACTGCTGCTGAAATCCACACAGCACATAACCCAGAGCAGCCAAAACCTGCACCTTTGCAGGCAGGGTGGTTTCCTTCTATCAGTCATGTTGTGAACGAATCACCGGGGAGAAAGAAGAACGAAGAGATCATTGCCAAGGTTACAAACTGGAGCACTGGAAAGCAACACACCCCTTTGAAGAACCTTTTGGGTGAGGCCTATCTAGAAAATAAAGCAAAGTCACCGACCCAAAAAGAAAGTCAAACTCCTGCGCCTCAGAAGGATGATAAAGCAGTGAAGGTGAAGGATGGTGGTCCTGGAGCGACAACAGTGAACTCAATTCTGGGTCCCGAATCACCAACAGGTCAGGCATCTAAGAAAGAGAATGCAAAAGAATGGAACTCTCCGGCACGGTATCCTTCAGACATTAAGAGTGAAAAGAAGAAAGTCAAGGGTAGACCATATTGGGCGCAATTTGTATGCTGCTCATCTGTGCATTAGCATCCCCAGTGTCTCAGTTTTAGAACTTTTGAAATGCGGGTAAAGCTTTACAGTTCTAGTTATATGGAAGTTTGTTTCGATCATGGATGCACATATTGTCCGTGTGTTTTAGCTGTAATTTTGTACTTCTACCGACTTGGGCGTTAATTTGGTACATATTGTCAGTATGGTTATACGAGTCTCAGATTTTATAGGCGTTAATTTGGTTATATATTTCATGCAGGAGGTTCATAGTTTGTTGATGAATATGTTTACTCTGGGATGAAATTGCAGCCTGATCTTCAATCTTTATAATGCTTTTACTAGGTCCATTATCTCTATCAAGAGTTGTTGTCATGTCTTAATAGACACCTCCGCATTGTGCTCCAGAATTAAGTTCAAAGCTTTCTTCTGGGGAAAAAAGATATTATTAGTATGAATAAACTTCCACTTCCATTTTACGAATTTAAGTTCACAATAATTATCAGGGCATCAATTCACGGTCTTTGTTTTAAAAAAAAATAGTATCTTGGGCCAAGATAATATGAGAGTCCCATTTTGCTTAGCGTAGAATGAAGTACTTATTTATGAAAAAAATTAAAATTCATTTGTAAATAAAAAAATTTTGAGCAGGGGAGGATGACTGCAACAGCTGGTTGTGGTGACCATGAAGCTTATGTACATATTAAATAGTAACATGACGGCTGATCTTTATACATGTACAGATCAGTGAAGCATTTCCTATTGCTAAGCATCCAAGAGCCAAATCAAATTTATATAAAGAAAGGGAAACGGTACCGTGGGAATATCTAATTGTTTTCTTCACTTATATATATATATATATATATATATATATATATACATACTTGTTTCCATTAGATATACAATTTTTTTTCCATTACTCTCTTTGGCTAAAAGCTTCAACACAATTTCGTTCTTATAAGGCATAATTGACTAAAAAGCATGCAAAGAACTCCTGCAGGCGTTTATTTCTTTCTTGTCTTGATTATCTTCCTCCTCTTAGAGCACCTCCAACGCTCCTATTTTGCCCGGGCAGGAAGGGGCCTAGGCCCAGCAATTGGCTCCAGCGTGCAACAATAAGATCAGGCAGCTGGTGGACTCCACAAGCCTGGGCAAGCCCAAAGGCAAATCTTGCCTGCGTTTGTTGACGTCAGCAACTTAAAGAAAAAAAAATTAAAAAAATCTAAAAAAATACCTAAAATTTCAGAAATTAAAAAAATAAAAATAAAAATCTAGTCATATTCTTCATTTCCCACACCAAAATTAATAGTTTACGTATAAAAAATAGAAAATAAATTAAAGTAAATAGTAATTGCCCTTGCCCTTTGGGGTGGAAACAAAAAAGGCAAGGGCCACCATTATTCACGTGAATAGTGACAAACCTTGTCTTACCCTTGCCCTTTGGGGTGGAGGTGCTCTTAATAAGCACAGGTTAGTTAATTTTAAACTTGATTTTTAAAAGTTAATCAACAATTATCGTTCATGATATTTGAATTCAGGACATCCTCCAACAAAGTGGAAACATAAATTAATCAATAATTGTCATTCATGATATTTGAATTCAGTACATCCTCCAACAAAGTAGAGACTGGGTGCCGCTATTTAAACTTTATTCTTGACTAATAATATGTTATACTTGGTTTATGCAGCTGTCTATGTTAGCCAAATTTTAACATTCCTCTAATAGCGTAAGACCATCTACATTTTGTATTGTAAGCAATTGATTATGTTAATACATGTGCTATCACCTATGAAGCTTCAACTAACCGCCTCTATTCATGAGTCTCAAACATCGAAATTTTGATGAATGAGTGGATTATAAGATACAAATCTCAAGATAGTTGAGATTGAACAGTTGAAACCGTTAGAAGAAATCGCTTGAGCTACAAGTACTGAATTTAATTTAAATTTTTTTTTTTTTTTTTTTTTTTTTTTTTTTTTTAAAAAATGAGAATCAATAAGGATTTGATAAATAGAGAGAATGTCAAGAAAATGGCATAAAAGCATGTAGAGACAGCGCACATTGTAAGAAATACTGTATGACACAAGGAAGGACACACTGGAGAATGTCACGGACGTTGGACAAGCAAATGCTATTGCAATCACTGTGGACCAACACATTAATTATATATGTGATTCTGAAATCCACATGACTTTTATTCATTTCACATTATGAATAACCTAAACATTCTCCTATCAATTTCGTTTGCAACTAATATTTGGTATTTGAATATTGTAATATCTTTTCACGTCGATCTTTTTGTTAAGCCATCACCATTCAGTCTAGAGAAACAACTAATTTACACTCTTGCTCCATGTAGTTTTGTTGGTGTTCAATTTGATCTCAGAGCGGGTCCTTGGTTTTCTAAGGTCTAGGGCAAATTTTCTCAAGTGTGCCTCTCTATACAAATTAAACCAATAAAAAATAAAAAATAATCAACTAATTAATTTTATTAAAATTATAAGAATTTACAAAAGATAAGAAAGAACACTTTGAGGCCTCATTAAAACCTTATTTGGGGAAAACTCAATGGGACAAAACCCCAAACGAAGGAACAAGAGTACTCCGCATTGTAAACATTGCATTAAAAAATAAAAACTACATATTTGAGTCTACATGCTTCCTTCCCAATCTCCATAAGCAATGGCGGATCCAGGAATTTTTATAGTGGTAGGCTAAATAATTTTTTTATTATAGTGGAGATATATTATAAGCCTTTTTTCTCTTGAAATAAAAATGTAAATAAAATTTTATAAATCAAACAAAGTCACATTACAAGCAAATATAACACAAAAAATACAAAAAATAAATAAATATCAAATCAAACACATTGTCCAACTTCAAAAAAACATGTTCGATTGCAAAAAAATTTAAAGAGCTTGCCATTCGAATCTCATCACGTTGATTGATTGGGTGTTCACAAATTGGAATGCATTTCCCAGGATCCCCTTCTAAAGAAGCAATATCAAACTCTTCAGGTTCAACTACTTGAGATCCGAGTTCAAAAAGTTCCTTAGGAATTGAAATATCAACATTAGATGCAGAAGGTGTATCCTTGTTATCGTTACCACTTTTTTTTGGAAGAATGAATAAATAGTTTTTCATCTCTTTACCGGTCTATTATCATTATGTGATATGATATCCTAACAAGAAATACTAGACATAAAAAATCATTTATGCTAATTAATAATTCAAGTTGCTAAAATAAAACACATATATCAACAATCTCCAAAAAATTCACCCAAACCCTAAATCATAAAAATTTAACAACAACAATTAAAATTGGAAATTGAATATATAAAAAAAAGAGAAAAATTTACCAAGATTGAAGAACCCACTAAAGATAGATTGGTACAATTTTTTAGAGGATGAGAGCTATTTCCTCTAGGTTCTCAAGGTTCAAATATGACGTTTTGGGTGGCTAGAAGAAATCTTTTGATGTTTGCTCTCTGTGGGTGTAGCCCAATATCAGTACAATTAGAATTGCTCAAGTTGGTAGAGCCTTAGTGTGAGTTCTGCTTCTAATCAAATTTATATAGGTTTAGATTGATGTTTATTATTTCCTATATGCTTCAGGAGTGGACTTATTTTAAATAGAGGACTGAGCTATTATTTACTTTACTTAGATTGGGCTATTATTAGTTTATTATATTTATTTGGTGTAGTAGGCTAATATTTATTGGAGCATGAATAAACTTATAAAATTTAAACCATATTTAATATTTAGAAATCTTCCTCTAGACTGAAGCCCACCCCAGCCTAGGCATAAATCTACCCTTGTCCATAAGCATTTCTTGATTTGATCAATCTTCTTTTCATCCTCCACAATTAATCGAAGCAAAACAATCATCACATGTACCTACAAAATAAAAATAGCAATGAAATCTCAAGCACAAAACATCATTTAAAATGTCTTCTTGTTGCACTTTTAGATGCAAAATTATCAATTATACTATCATATTTAATGTTTTCTAACATATCCTTTTCAATGCATAATATCGCTAATCCATTTAGCCTATTTTGAGTTATGGTGGCCTGCAAGTATGATTTCAATAATTTTAATTTAAAAAGCCTTCTTTTAGCAGATGCCACAGTCACAAGTATAGTCAAGAATACCCTATAAGCAACCATTACATTAGGAAACATATCCACACTCTTTACAAACTCAAGAATTTTAATGGATGTCCATGGTTTATTTGTTTCATATGCTTCTTTTGGTAACATCACTTGCAACATTTGTAATTCTGAAAATAAGTCTCTTGCATTAACATCAGAAACGTCACCATGTTTTAAAGCATTTTCAAGATTCACACAAAAACTTTTCAGTTCATTATCATCAAACAAAGTCAACTTTGCAACATCAAATAAAAACCCAAAAATCGATTCAAAAAAATGCAATTGTTCAAACCTACTCTTCAATTCACAAAGAGCAATATCCACTATAACAATAAAATAATCAGTTCTAAATGATTCTTCAGCTGATTATTTCCCTATCACTATTGGAAATCTCATAAAAATGCGTTTTTCTACAAACATGACTTTTTTTCGGAAATACAGGCTCAATTCCCATATCAAGGGAAATTTCTTTAGCATAAATCATGACAGAAATAAACCCATTTATTCTATAGTTTTCAAAAAATAAAACAAGTCCTAATTGTCTTACAGCAGCATCAAGATGCATCTCTTCAGATTGTAATTTTTTACTAAGTTAATCTTATGCAAAATGTCATACCAAATAACCAAACTTAATATAAATTCAAAACTTGAAAGCTCTCCTGAAGCTAAACTTTGAGCATCCCTACTCAATTTGGCATCTTCACTAATTTCTGTTAATTTAAATAAAGCTTCTCTGATTTGGGAAGCTTGAGATTTTATTGTTTTGACACTTTCAATGTGACTTTCCCAATGTGTAGTTGACAATGATTTCGAAGTCAAACCATGCATCTATGTATATCAAGTAACACATTCCATTGCTTTGTTGAATTAGAGAATACCGTAT